ATATATATATATATATATATATATATATATATATATATATATATATATATATATATATATATATATATATATATATCACTAAATAGTAACATTTCACTATTATTTTCTTAAAATCAACAATTCTAAATTATAAAACTGTAAATCAACCATTTTTCAATTACAATTATTTTCTTGTTTCATCTCTTCTAAACACTGTACTATGTTAAAAATGTAAACAATACAGGTAAGCAGACATATAAATATATATACTTATATATTCTATATATATATACATATATACTTATATATATTTACATATATATACATATATATACATTATATATATATATACACATATACCCTATTTATATGAAATGCAAAGAATATAATACAACATCTATATACACGTCTGAGTGTATTTCTGGTGTGGCAGGGTTTAATTATAGAAAGAAATGTCTCATTAAACATAATCATAGATTTATTTTATATTAAGTGTTTAATAATTAAATTTTAAAATTTTAAATAATGATTTTAATCAATTAACGCGCTCTATTTATAATTTTACTTGAATTTCATTTAGTTTGGTGTTATAAATAATTTTAATGAATAATATTGCTGTTACACGGGACATGGTAAGCCAGAAAGGAACGAGACGACAGTTTCTTTTGCAGCAAGAATTTTAAGAGGAATGATTGTGACAGGACTGACCGATGCAAAATTTGGAATAGTTCATTGATTAACTCTGTTCTCTCAATAATTATTTAGAAAGAGGGGGGGGGGCAAACTACGGGCCGTGGGCCGCATGCGGTTAAGATTAGGGCTACGACCAAGAAACTGAACCACAAATCTTAAAAAAGTTTTCCCCCGGGCCCTTCAAAGGTAAAATAGTTTTTAATATGCGCGGCCCTCGCAGCAAAAAGTTTGCCCACCCCTGATTATGATTTAGAACCTTTACATATATAATAAATCATAATTAACGTAGGGTAGATGTTAATTATTATTATTGTTCTTGTTATAATTATTAATTTAAACGTCGAAGTCTTATATTAGTTTTATTATTATTCATAATTATCATTTATGAGCATTTTTTTCGGATAATAATTAAATTTTTTTCACATCAAAACTATCTTTTTCATTGAAGGACTTGAAGATTAAAAAATGAGGCACATTATATTTATCATCGCCATCCTCCTCATCACGGTTGCAAGCTTTATAAAAAGTAATTTACTTGTGGGTTTACTTGCGCGTATGTGTGTTTCTTTGTTTGTGTGTGTGTTTGTGTGTACGTGTGTGTGTACGTGCGTGTGTGTGCTTAAAACGATATAATTATCCATAATATCAAATAAATACCCATAATTACATTTCTTGGATTAAAAAATTCCAGATGGCAAAGCTAAATCGACCACTACTGTGGCAATCACAGAGATGGGAACTGATAACAATAATAATGCAACGACAACAACAGCAACAACAACAACAACAACAACAACAGCAACAACAACAGCAACACTACTAACAACAAGAAATAATAATAATAATAACATCTCGCTTACAGCATCTTCCACAATGGATTCTTCTAAATTTGACGCTTCAGAAATAATTATGACGTCATCGTCAACGCCATTACCATCTTCACTATCATCATCATCATCATCATCATCATCAGTAAATGTATCTATGACATCAAACTTATTTTCATCATCATCATCATCATCATCATCATCATCATCATTATCATCATCATTACCACTACCATCATTATCATCATCGTCGTCATCATCGTCATCACCATCAAACTATTCAACTGAAAAATCAGCAGCTGAACAGCCTACAACTTCATCAACATCATCATCATCGTATACATCATCATCATCATCAACATTACCATCATCATCATCATCTCTATCACCATCCCCACCACCACCACCACCACCACCACCATCATCATCAATGTCATCATTATCATCACCCTCATCACTGAATTCGTCATCGTTACCATCGTCTACTACAGCATCATCACCTCACTCATCATCATCATCATCAACATCGTCATCATCTTCCATACTAACACACAACAACGTGTCCGAATTGGTGACGTCATCATCGTCGTCATCATCATCGTCATCATTATCCAATTCATCATTTTTTCCGACTGAATTTTATTCGTTAGAAAGTTCATCGTCATCGTCATCATCACCCTCACAAACAACTAAC